CCATTTGTAGACAGTCTGTCTTACCGTGGACACATGAACATCAAGGCTTTTGGAGATACTTTTGTAACCCTTTCCAGCTTCATGCAAGTCAACAATTCTTGATTGTAGGTCTTCTGAGAGCTCTTTTCTGCGAGGCATGGTTCACATCAGACAGTGCTTCTTGAAACCAGTAAACCCAAAACAGGTGTGTGTTTTTTAAGGGCAGGACAGCTGTCAGCAACACATCCAATATCATCACACTGATTGGAGCAAGGTTGGCTCACTCCTGGCTCCAATTAGCTCTGGGAGAAGTCATTAAGCTAGGGCTTCACATACTTTTTCCTCCCTGCACTGTGAATGTTTACATGTTATGTGCAATTAAACCATGGCAACATCTAATCTTTGTGTAGTATTATGTTCAGCAGCCTGTGTTCTTCTATTGTTGTGACTTAGATGACGTTCAGAGCACATTTTATGCCCAATTCATGCAAAACTCCACGTAATCCCAAGGGGTTCACATACTTTTTCTTGCAACTGTATATTAAAAATATAGCTTTATTACAAAACACAATTAAACCACATAAAGGCCCTGACAAGGTCAATCAATGTTATACATGCTATGGTGAAAAAGTGCCAACTGAAAAAAAAGTCAACTGCTTTATTTCTCACACAGTAGTATCAGTCTCAGTTCACATATTTCCTTGTGTATTTCTAAATACTATTGTTCCTCTGCTGTCAGCATGAGTAACTTCTGACAAGTTTTCCTGATATCAAGAGAAAAAAGGTGATAGGAGAGGGATCTCCAGAACACAGCTTGTGACTGACAGCCTCAGCTCTGTTCCTGTAGGCTTTGTGAAGGGGGTGTCTCCCTTTTCCTCCAATCAGCTCTCAGAGCTCTTGTACAGTGTGTAATTGCAGCTCTCAACCTCCTGCTTTCTGGGTCTGTGAAAAGATATTTTCATCCATTCAAATAGCTTCAAATAAACAGGTACAACATATGGAGGCATTGTTTCATGTCTGTGTATCACCTGAGGCCAGTCACTTCAATTGGTATATGTAAGGGTTTACAACCACTTTAAGTAAGGTCTTTAGAAGAGTCTCAGGGGTTGAGTCAGCCAAACAAAACATGTTAAGGTGATTGGCCTGTTGAAGAATGTACTGTATGGTTGTATTTCCAGACCACTTTGGCTAAATAATGGATTAATTTCCTTCATTGAACCTCTCACAAGTCCCATTGCCTTGTGGATGGTACAGGGTAGGGTGTGACTTCCTAAAGCCCCATTCCGGGATAAAACTAACTTTCCTGGCCAGCCCTCATGTCAGCACAACAGGGTTTACTCCTCCTCCAAACCCTCAGGACCACGTTCCCTATCAGAGATAAAAAAATAGACCCTCCCATCCCCACCTTTTCTCTTTTTTTATTGGCCACCTTTTGTTCCAACAGATTCATGCCCATTATGGTTTCTAACAGTCAAGTTAACTTTTCTCATGGCTATTATATCATTGAAAAGAGTGTCGGAGCTAGCAGCCCTATCCTGCAGAGACCCATTGTGCATTGTGTTGGCAGATAAGGTTATTTTGTGGTCTTCACCAGCCTTAAACTCCAAGATGGCCTCAAAATTCCATGTAGAATGGGAGTCTGTCTTGCCAAGTTTCAACCAGCCACCAGACAGATGACCTAGACCTTAGACCACTGGACATAGTCGCTTTGTTTACAACCTATCTTCTTCGTTCCCAACGGATACATAAATCCGATAACTTATTACCAGCGGGACCCAGGAAGGGAGTGGCTGCGGCAACAATCATAGCCCCCTGGATCACCAAACAATCAGTCCAGCATATAGACAACAGGGCCTTGCTCTTCCACAGAGTGTAAGAGCTCACTCAACAAGAGGGGTGGCAGCCTCATGGGTGGCACTCACAAGCATATCAGTTGAAGATATATGCAGGATGGCAAGTTGGAGCTCCTGTGAGACCTTTGCCAGACACTATAAATTGAAAGTAAGGTACACCAGTTCAGCTAAGTTCGGAGCGGCGGTTATGTCAGCACCTTTTTAGACTAAATAAAGAAAGAATCTGCATAAAGTAGCTAGATGTGTTGATTTTTTCTTGTTGTTGTGTCCCACCCCAAAATAGGTATGATATATCCCAGGTGTGCTGATATGAGGCTGGCCAGGAAAATGTAAAATTGTCACCAATACTTACCGTACTTTTCCTTTCCTGGCTGGTCTTCACGTCAGCACAACTTTTTTCTTCCCTCCCTAGTGACCGGTTGTCGCTACAAACAGAGAACAGGTGGGGATGGGAGGGTCTGTTCTTTATCTCTGCTAGGGAAGGTGGTCCAGAGGATTTGGAGGAGGAGTAAACCCAATTGTGCTGACATGAGGACCAGCCAGGAAATGAAGTATAGGTGGTCATTTTCCGTTTTTTGACATTGATCCCAGAGTGGGGCTTTAATACTGAGTGAGTGGCGCCATTTTTTAAAGAACTTGCTTTTGAAACAGTGTCCCTGGTCTCAATGTATTTTCTGTGGATAGCCATAACAAAGGCAAAAGTGTTTCCACACCATATCGGCAGTTGTATAGTCGGTCTGGCCGCGGGTTGGTATTGCAACTTGGTAAAATGGTCCACCATAACTAGAATGTGACAGTATCCATCTTTTGCCATATCGACTGTAAGAAAGTTGATGGTCACTACTTCCAGTGGGGCAGATGTGTTTTATGCCAGAGTTGGAATTCGGACTTCAGTACCTTTTGACACCAAACAGATCATGCAGTGCCGACAGACTTATGTAACCAACTGGAATAGACTCAAATGCATTGCTTGTCTCTCGAACCAGGAAAATGTTTTGTAAACAAGCCAGTGTTATGTTTCTATGATGATTCTCTCTGCCACACAGAGGCCTGGGCCCTTTATAGTATAACCTACCTGGTCATTGAGTGTGTTTGCATATGACTGGACCTTGGCCCGATCATAAAATTCCTGACCTGGTAATTGTTGTGGCAGGAGTCCTGCCAGGAAAAAAGGGGCTCATTATAAAAGCAAGCCACATACTAGCTAAAGGAAATATCACAGATTAACTGTATCAACTGAAGTGTACTGAAGTAAACTTTCTTCACACCTGACACTATCATCTTGGGCACAGAAATGCTGAAACTATAAAGAAGCTAACTGAAGATCATCTTGCCAATGGTATTACAATTGATTCATGCAGTCAAATAAGGAAGTGTATCAGTAGAATAAACAATGGTTTATTTTGGTTTTGTGCTGCCCTAGACAAGACTAAAATCAGGTGCCCCCCCCCAACTAAAATTTGTCTCACCCCTTCCTGTTTAAGATCCATCCCTTCATCTGTAAACTTTGCCCCTTCCTCTTTAGGCTCCACCTCTTCCTATTAGAGCTCCACCTCAGGAGTTGGTCAGTGACTGTGGACATAGTACAGGAGATGGTCAGAGACTGCAGACAGGATACAGGAGACAGTCAGAGACCACGGACAGGATACAGAGGATGGTCAGAGACTGCAGACAGGTTACGGTCAGAGACTCTGGACAGGATATAGTCAGAGACTCCGGACAAGATACAGGAGACTGCGGACAGATTACAGGATACGGTTAGAGACTGCAGACAGAATACAGGAGATTGCAGACAGGATACAGGATACGGTCAGAAACTGAGGACAGGATACAGGAGATGGTCAGAGACTGCGGACAGGATACAGGACATTGCAGACAGGATAAAGGATACGGTGAGAGACTGTGGACAGGATGTAGGAGATTGCAGACAGGATACAGGATACGGTGAGAGACTGCGGACAAGATACAGGATACGGTCAGAGACTGCATACAGGAGACTGTGGACAGGATACAGGGGATGGTCAGAGACTGTGGACAGGATACAGGAGACTGCAGACAGTATACAGGAAATGGACTGCAGAGCCCGCTCGAACATTGCCTCACTGACCCACCTCCACCATCCAAGCACTGGTGAGCTGCACCCCCGCCCGAACACTGCCTCACTGACCCACCTTCCCCACCCGAACGCTGCCTCCCCTGCCCGAATACTGCTTCACTGACCCGCTTCACTGATCCCCCCCCGCCCGAACACTGCCGAGCCCGCCCCCCCCCACCCGAGCTCTGCCAAGACTGCCCGAGCACTGCCAACTCCAATGACCCCTTCTGCCTGGGGGCGGTGCCGCCTCCTGAAAAATGCCTTGTTTGCCTCGTGGCAGATACGCCTCTGAGCATAAAGGGGAAAATGACCAGGAAATCATTCTCAAAAAGTAACAACAGCAGAGCCCTGGACCTAATTCAATCAGATTTATGTGGTCCTATATAAACTCAGATTTCAGGAAAGAAAATGGGAACTTTGTGCTATCCTTAGGTATCCCTACATATGTTGTTGGCTGCAATTATTCTCAAAAGGGTTACAGAATTCTGTATCAAGACACCAATAGGGTAGCAGAAATGTAATTATTAATAAAACACTTATGCATCAAAAGCCTCATGAAGTGACACTGTAATCACTTTGAATTAATTTTAACAACAAACAGAACAATAAGGCCCACCAGCACTGCAGTAAAAGGAACAGAACATCCCTGAAACTGAAGCTGCAATCAATGATGTATCCTCTAAAAAGAAGGAAGCAGAACCACTTGCAACCTTGGATAATAAGAGAGATCTGAAAAGGGCATCTCAGCTAGACATTTGTCATGTTTGGTTTGTACATCTCCACATCTTAAGCTGGCATTACACCAGGCTTTTTTCTCCAGCATCTCCAACAAGTACATTTTAGGTTTACCAGAAAACAGACCAAAGGAAGTTGAGTCAACTGGTACACTACAGCAAAGTGTGGATAAAGAACTAAACTATCTGGCAATTAGACTGCACTCCCTGTCTGTATCTGAAGGTTGACTTCTAAATTGGGACTGGACTATACCTTTAACCTCTTCCCAACTGCCCTATAGCAGATATACTGATACAGGGTGGCAGGGGTGCACAAAATCATGTATATATACGTGTGCG